ATATTAAGTAGTTTGGATTCAGTGATTACTATGACAGAGCATGCAAAAGGGATCTTTTTTTGACCTTTGTATTCCCAGCCACTACCATAATACCAGTATATACAAAATGCCTGTTGATTGTTGAATGAATGAATGAATTCTGCAATTGGTAGGATTAAGTAGTAATTATAGGCCTTTAATGATTAATAAGAGAGAATAGCAAATTACTCAACAAGATCACCTTCGTGTTGCTGTAGAAGCTCTCTACATTATTTGTCTCATGATTTTTTACAGTGTACTTTTAATGAGGATTGAAATAAGACACAGAAATTGAAATGGTTAATGTGAATCTTAAGGCTTAAAATTTATAGGTTTTCATCTGCTTTAGTTTTCTATTTGTCTTGTCAAAAAAAAAATGACCATAAATTTGGCAGCTTAAAATAACACAAATTTGTTATCTCACAGTTCTATAGATCAGAAATCCAGATGGGCTTAACTAGTTTCTCTGCTCCAGGTGTCATTAGGCCAAAGTCAGCCTCTACTTTGGTTTGGCTCTTATCTAAAGGCTCTGAGGGAAAATCCACTTCTGGGATGGTTCAGGTTGTTGGTAGAATTTAGTTCCATGCATTGTAGGATTAAGGTTCCAACTCCCTTGCTGGCTCAGCCAGTATTCATTCTCAGCCTCTAGAGTACTGGTGAAAGCCAGCAATGGTGGTTCAAGTCATTCTCATGCCTAAAATCTCTGACTTTTCCTTGTGTCTCATCTCTCTTGCTTCCGGTCTGAGAAGGTTCTCTACTTTGAAGTCCTCATGTGATTCAATTGAACCCACCCATGTAAATCCAGAATAATCTTGGTATTTTAAGGTTCTTAATCTTAATTACATCTGAAAAAAATCTTTTTTGCCATGTTGACATGTTTCAGGTATGAGCAGGTAGACTCACTCGTCCTACTACACCATCGCTGTCTCTTTTTTTCCCTTAAAGATTGTTTATATGACCATGTCATTTCTCCTTTACAGTTTCCCACAATTTGGATTTTGCTGATCATATCCTCCTGGTATTGTTTCACATATTACTCTGTTGCCGAGATTGCTTAGAGATTGGTAGTTAGATCTAGATTGTAAAGACATAATCAGATCAGGTTTACTTTGGGGTAAGGATACATCAAAGGTGGTGGTGTGTTCTATCAGTAGGCACTTATGTCTGTCTGTCTCTTGTGTAACATCAGCAGCATTTGTGATCATTGACCTTAGCTCCATTACTTTAGCAAGGATTGCAAAATGGCGATATTCTTTGAATCTTATCATTCCATCTTCATTTACTTTCCTTTATTAACTGTTCGGTTATGCAGAGGTATAGTACATTAGGAAAGGCCAGATAAAATTTCATTCTTTCCCTGTATTTTCTGGTTTTCAAAGTGAATTGGTTATCTACTGAAAGTGACTAGTTTTTTTTTCCTCAGTACAATTATTGACTCATCAATTTAATGTTTGAAACACTTACTATTATTGCACTTATTATTACACTTACTATTGCACTTACTCACTGATGCTCAGATATTCCCATATTTGTTAAGTGGGAGCCTCTTGAGGTTAGCTCCTGAGTCCTATTGATAGGACTTCAGTAGTATTTCATAGTGTCCCTGCTTTCAGTATAACACGATGTTCCAACTCATCTTATGCGTTTCCTGCCTCCTACCTGGCAGCAGCTATTTCTCCATGCAGCTCTAAATTCTTTTAAAGGAAAATGCTATTTCGGTTACCACAATTTAGGTACTGGGGAAAGTCATTGCTACTGGTTTGGTCTTTGCTTCCAGGCTCTACTGTGGTCTTAGCAAGGCCATTTTTTTTTTTTTTATCATCATGGGTACATACTGACACTGCCAATTTAAATTCAGGACCATGGGATTTTAACTTAGCCTCACTTAGCTATTTCATATCTCTTTCTTCTTTCTCCTGTGCTTAAAAAAAAAAATCTGTTTCCTAATGGCATCAGCAAATTTCTTATTCACTTTATCTCACAATATACATATTTGAGTCCTAAAACAAAAATACAGACACCAATGATGATTACTGAAAATAGTTTGACAATTTTTAACATTATTTTTCATTTAATAATATCTACCATGGCCATGTAGGGAAATATTCCCCATTCCTTTTTAGAGCTTCAGAGTAAGCTGCGAGTCCTCTGTCAATGGAAAATTGGCTTGTTTCCATTTTGTTGTTATTTCAAGTGTTGCCTCAATGAATAAATCTTTTTATGTTTTGGCCAGTGTATCCCTTGAACAGATTTTTAGAAATGAGATCGCAAATTACTCATGTAATTTTGCTGGATATTGCTAAATTCCTCCTCCATGGGGTTGTGACATTTTTATATTCCCACCAGCAATGTATGACATTGTCTGTTTCACCATACCCTAGATTGTCATCAAATTTTAGAATTTTTGCCACTTTAATAGGTGATAAGTAATATCTTAATGTAATTTAAATACTCCTCTTATTTTGAACCATATTGGACAACTTTGGTTTAAGACATATTTGCATATTTTTGTTTCTGAATTTTCCAAATCTCTTGTCCATTTACTATCAGATTATTATACTTTTCTTTATTTTTAGAAACTTGCTATGTATAAGGGATATTAACCTTTTGTTAATGCTTTAAGTTGCCAATTTTTTCTCTTTGTCATTTGTCTTATGTATGGTTTTTGTTTCTTTGCCATTTTTTTTCATTTTTTGTCAAAATTTTTAACCTTATCCCTTATTGTATGTAGAATTTCAGACATAGTTAAGTATTTCCACTCCCCTAGGTTATAGAGGAATTCACTCATGGTTGTTGTTGTCATTGTTTTGCATTTTAAATCTCTAATCCATTTGAAATGTACTATGTGTGGTGAGAGGAAAGGATCTAATTTAATTTTTCATATGGCTATCAGGTTAACCCAACATCACTTATTAAAAAGCCCGTCTTTGGGGCACCTGGCTGACTCAGTTGGTAGAGCATGCAACTCTTGATCTTCGGGTTGTAAGTTCGATCCCCACGTTGGGTATAGAGATTACTTAAAAATAAAATCTTAAAAAAAATTAATTAAAAGTCCATCTCTTTCCCAGTGGTCCAAAGTGCCACCTTTGTTTTATGCTCAATGTTCATATTCAAATCGTTCCATTGATCTATATCTCTCTTCGTTATTTGCCTGTTCTTTCTGACCGGCATTTGGTAACAATGGAAATCAGGAGCATATGAAGCAATAAAACCTTTTAGGACTAAAATCCATTGTGTAAATAGTTCTTAAATTTAGTTGTTTTGTTTAAATGAGGGAAATAAACTCATTCTTTTGCATGTAGCAAAAGGAATGTGGACCTAAGTAAAGAGAGATTTATAAAAGTAAATTGTCTAAACTTTTCTTTAAGAGCCTTAAAAGAGTTTTGCGGGGAAGCAGCCTGATATAATTAATGCATGGGGTTCAGGATCCTGCCTCTCAGGAGCTGCTTTGTTGTGGGCATGTTCTTAATTTCTCTGAGCCTTAGTTTCCTTACTTCTAAAACGGAGATAAAATCTCTCAGGGCTGTTGTGAGCATAGAAAGATCTGCATGCCATTACCCAGCATAGTGGCCCCACATAAAGGGCACTCAGGGAGTATTGGTTGTCTTCTCTTCCCCTTCAGGGGAAAATGCATTTATAACTTTTATGGTGAGGCTTTCTCCAGCTACTCATGAAAATAACTGGCCTGATTTTTACTCCGCAAAACTGATTAAATAAAAGGAACAGATGAGAAATCAAAGTTCTTCACTCCCAATTACCCAGTAGTGCCTGCCTTCACTGAACGGCCGCCTTCCCAGGCTCAATTTTCAGAGTGAAAGAGGAAAAGTGGATTGACAACAACCACAGGGATTGTTGACTTCTAAATTGATGTAAGCCTAGATGGAGGGGAGATTCAGAAGGATGATGATGAGCAGAGATCATGCTTTCCTCTTCCCAATACATTGTTTTTGGTTTTCCAGTTTAAGAGGGGAATCTGGCTTATGATACTCATATCCAGAAATTTCCAGAAAGTCTCTTCACTCTAAAAGTCCCTCCCTACCCTGAAGTTGTCAGAGATCTGAGCATTTTTCTGACAAAATGCTTTATTTTTTAAGATCCCCATATCAGATTTTTTTCCATAGGGTCCTGTTTTGCTTTATTTAGTCCAATAATTTTTCATAATTGTCTACTTTAGATTGTGACACAATATAGATATATTTAAGGAATTTGTTTTGAAAACATATCTTAAGATCATTTTTAGAGGTTTTTTAATGAATTATTGAAGCCCTAATTAGATTCCAATTCATAATTTTATTCCTTCCTTTTTAAATAAACCCATTGAAAGTAGTTCATGGATTTCACCAATATTAAGAACTGTTATATGAAGATGAAAAGGGGCTCCAAAAATATGATTTGATCAGTTTTCATACAACATTGATTAGATTATATTCATACAGCATTTGAAAGAATGTTTTCAAATACATTTTTATTTAATTTCTGCAACAGCATTGTTATATGTCAATATTGTTAACCATAGTTTATAGTTGAGCAGACCAAGGCCCAAAGAAGTTAAATTTTAAATGGCCCAGGATCTCAAAGGCAACTACAGTTTGAGACTAGAAATTTGGATTTCAATCTAGTGTTCCTGCCACAATTCATAATCAGCAAGAGCACTAGTTTAGACATGCATACATATTAAATTTTCCGTATTTAACATCATGTCAGATTTTCCACTGAATGAATCTTATGCTTCATTTGCAGTGTTTCATTTGTAATCTTTCAATCTTGCTTAGCTTTCTTAATTAATATGAATAGCTAACTAGTCCTGCGGTATGTCCAAATGAGAACTATCTAAACTATTATGGAATAATGTTCTGGTAACTTGAAACCTCCAGAGGCTCAGTCCTCACAAAGAGTTAAAAAAAAAAAAAAGGAAAAAGTCACAGAAGTAGCATTGTTGGTTAAGCAAGAACTTAGTGCTGATGTCTGGTTTTGTTTTCCAGGTGGCACTGCATGCTTGTGGAGTGGCAACAGACATGGTGATTGAGCACTGCATCAAAACACGGGCTTCCTTTGTCACATGCCCTTGCTGTTATGGTTTCATTCAGAACACCTCAAAGTTTAATTTTCCCAAAAGGTGAAATGTAGTGTTCACCCTAAGACACCAATGTGGGGAATAAAGCTAAAGCCCGAAACTTGTTTGATACAAAGTTGCAATGAGAGTTCAGTTTTGAACTCACTTCCTCTTTCCACAAAGGCAGGTACTATTTATAAGTTATATAAGGAAGAGAGGATCTCCTCTATGGCTGCTCCTTGATTTTTCTCCTGGACCCAACTCCTGAAATTTAGAAGCAAGTCTGAGAATGAGCTGGCTGACTAAGAAATCTGATCGGTTCAGCACTTCTCATCACCTGTGAGAGGCAGCAGGTGTTGTGGTTAAGTGCTTAAGACCTGGAAGTCTTCCGCCCCCCGGGGCGGGGGGGCAAACATCGGCTCCTCAGAATTTTATAAGTCCTTTAACCTCAGGCAATTTACTTAAGCTCTTTCTGCCTACATTTTCTCATCTACAAAATGGAGGTTATAATAGTAACTAACTCAAGGTTTTTGTGAGAATTGAATGATATATGTGTAAAGAACTTAGAAGTGGCACAGAGTAAGCATTCAATAAAATGTGCGCTGTGGCCAGGTACAGTACTAGCAGTGGTATTTTTAAAATACTGCCCATGGGTGCTGATTAATGGGCAAGTCGGACAGCCATTTTTACAGTCCTTCTTATCCCACCTACAAGAGGGAGACATTTTATTTCTCACCACTTTGGCCTAACCTAGTGGAGGGCTGTTGTCTTGGTGTTCATGACATTTCACTCTCTGAATCATAGTTATTGAGAATCATGCTGGTCATTTTAATTACAGAATAGATTAAATATGTTAGTTTTAAAAAATTGTATAATGTGTCAAAAAAGATTTCTTGATCATTTGCATGATTACTTTTAAGAAATCTTAGAAAATTTCCATCAGAATTTATAAAGACTTCTGAATAAAGTAATAAAGTACAAACAATAGCCTTCTTTTTCTTTGTCTTTGATTTTTTTTTATTTCATTGTTTTGTTCTTTACCACAGTTTGCAACTAGTTGAGAGAAAACCAAAGGAACTTTGGAAAGGCAAATTAAGTATAACTTAAGGTTTATTCAATAGCTGAAATTTCACTCTGTTCTGAATCTATACAGATAAAATGTATATTTTACAACCCATCAAGAAATCTGTAAGTCTAGCACTATAAAGATTTTTAAGAATGTTAATTTGAGTTATTCAGCCTGTGGCTTCACTTAATTGATTTTAAAATCTTACTTTAGTGTCTGTCAGCTTTTTCGTATCTCTGTAGATTTATTGCCATTTTCTTCTTTTGTCAGTGGAAGACCACTCCCAGGCCATTATCCCCCTGCCCTAATCACCTGTGTCAGGTACCAGACAACTAGGGACAGCCCCTATCCCCAAAGCCACTGACATTACCCAGTCCTACCCAGTCCTAAGTTTGCTCATCCTGCCTTGCCAGCTACTCCAGTGTAATCCGTAATAAAGACTCTTGCCCACATTGTATCCCACTCCCTCTGCCTCCTAAGCAGCCCTGGTGCTTCCCCATGTGGCCCTCTGTGGCATGGCATGCCCTCTCTTAGGAATTGTTGGGAAAAAACTATTTTTTCCATGGCAAACATCTCCTGATCTGTTGGCCTCACCATATCTAAAATAGTAGTAAAACCTACATTTTAAAACCCCTGGATCTTTGGGGCACCTGGGTGGCTCGGTCATTAGGCGTCTGCCTTTGGCTCAGGTCATGATCCCAGCGTCCTGGGATCGAGCCCCGCATCAGGCTCCCTGCTCCGCAGGAAGCCTGCTTCTCCCTCTCCCATGCCCCCTGCTTGTGTTCCCTCTCTTGCTGTGTCTCTCTCTGTCAAATAAATAAATAAAATCTTAAAAAAAAAAAAAACCCTGGATCTTTGTGTACCCATGTGGGGAAGAGAAAAAAAAAATGGTTGTGAATCTCTAATAGTGTAAACAATCTTTGAAAAAATCTTCAAAATTAATAGTATACTGAGAGTATGCTTTTAGCTTTTTATAAAGACATTTCAAACTGGCATAGTTTTTAGTGTAAGATAGCATTATGTACTCCTCAGATAAAATACCTACTTTTGTTTATAGTTTTTTCTATATTTCTATATAGAAATATATAGACTATCTCGACTCCTAATCTTTGGTGTTTAAAATAATGACTCTTTTTTTTCTTTTCTATTTCAGTGAACAATTCAAGAAAACTTTATCATACAAGGTAACCTTAAAAAGTTCTAGATGTCTTTCTAATATACTTTTTATTCCTTCTTTATATTTTCCCCTCCCAAATTTCTAATGGGATATATAACCTATAGTTATCTTGGAATTACTCATCAACATGTAATATGGGGGGGGTTGTTTTATTTTTTATGTTTTGTTTTGTGAATCAAGATTAAAGTCCAAGTAGGTGGCAAGACTTGTGAAGGGTCTGAGAGTTTACCCTGCAAGTTCACATGCTAGCCTGCCACAATTTCATGGATGCCAGCAGATAGGAGACTTCTGAGTTAGAGACCTGGCAGTAGGAGTAGCCAGACTATCATCATTTTTGTCCTGACTTCCTGAGACCCAGTTCCCACAGGGCAGTATATAATGGGCCATGCGACACCTACATACACAGTGAATTGCAGTACAGGAGAGGGAAGCTGAGCTTAGGAAACCCAAATGTTTTAAGATTTAATCTTTAAGCAAGCATTCCTACCCTTTGCTCCAGAGTGAAACTATGTATTTTCCAGAGTTGCTCACTATATAAACATCTTTGAGAAGATAATCTAGAACACAGGCAAATTTTTCTGTAAAAGGTCAGACAATAAACATTTTAGGTTTTGTCAGCCACTTAAAAATTTCCCAGCGATTCTGCTTTGTCCTTTCCATTTTTTGTTGCTTTTGGTGGTGGTGGTGTACAATCTTTTAAAAATGTAAAGACTGTTTTTAACTTGAGAGCTATACAAAAAGAGGTCATAGGCTGGATTTGGCCCGTAGGCCAGAGTTTGCCAACCCCTGGTCCGGAACAAACACAGCACCTCTACTCATAAGGCGTGAAGAAATACAAGAACTATTTCTCAACAGTAGTCAGAACATTACATAGTTCTGAGGCATCAATCTGAGCAAACTAGTTTCCAGCTTTCTGAATATTACCACTAACTAATTGGTCAATAACATGACAAATGCATTCTAAAAAGTGGTAATGATATTTGCCAGAAATACATGAATAATCCCATTAAAACTTGATAAATTAGATTCTTAGTTCACTTCTTGTAGACTCACTAAAAATATATAGTCTCATTTTACGTGCCAGACCCCACCTTTCAAGATTTTTCCCTTCTCCATCCAACGGTTAAGTAGTAGGGGACAGTGACTCAGAAACGTTCATTTCTACCAGTTTGGCACATATATCTCCTTCACCTCTACTTTATAATCCTTAAACAGCCACCTCCAACTCTGTCTCCCACCCTTCTCTTTCCCCCTCCCTACCTCTCCCCCTGCTCTGAGCATACACAGATACTACAGAGGGAAGAGTGTTGATGCTTTCATCCAGAACCAGACTTCCCTGGTCTTTGCTTACTGGATTTTAAGTTTGTATGTCTTAGGGAACTGTAAGGTTTTTTGGGAAACATTAGGACCCCAGGAACTTTGTTTTCATAATATTCAAAACACCTTACCTTTCTCTTATAAGACCCTGCCAATAGAGCAGACAATGAGTTGAAAAATAAAAACTAGGGCCCTGTTTTTAATGCCTCTTTGAGTGATGCGGGCGAAAAACAAATTGAGAGGATGCGTGGAAAAAAACCTAGGGCAGTGAAGAGGCTGGGTGCCCCAGTCTCACTGGCTAGAAAAGAACGTAACATTTCTAAAGAATAGCGACAGGGTACCCAGGCTCTTCCAGAGAGCAGAAAACTCACTGTTACCCAGTCTACTGGGTCTACTCCTTCTCCCACACCCCCAAAAGCTGCTTGGCCACCAGCCCTTTTGAGAGTCTCAGGTATAAAGGCTCCAGAGAGAAGTCTGAGCTTCTTGGATACTGTGGCAAGATATTTCTTAACTGAACCAGGATGGGTGGGCCGCCAGGCAGAACTAAATGGAGGTAGTGCCTAAATGTCTTGAGAGTTGCTGAGTTGGATCGGTAGCGGGAGTGGAGAGCGGACTGCAGAGAGCCCTGAGCAGCCCCACCGCCGCGGCCAGCCTAGTTACCATCACACCCCGGGAGGAGCCGCAGCTGCCGCAGCCGACCCCAGTCACCATCACCGCAACCATGAGCAGTGAGGCGGAGACGAAGCAGCCGCCCGCCGCCCCCGCCCTCCGCGCTGCCGACACCAAGCCCAGCACCACGGGCAGCGGCGCAGGGAGCGGCGGCCCGGGCGGCCTCACATCGGCGGCGCCTGCCGGCGGGGACAATAAAGTCATCGTAACGAAGGTTTTGGGAACAGTAAAATGGTTCAACGTAAGAAACGGATATGGTTTCATCAACAAGAATGACACCAAGGAAGATATATTTGTACACCAGACTGCCATAAAGAAGAATAACCCCAGGAAGTACCTTCGCAGTGTAGGAGATGGAGAGACTGTGGAGTTTGATGTTGTTGAAGGAGAAGAGGGTGCGGGGGCAGCAAATGTGACAGGCCCTGGTGGAGTTCCAGTGCAAGGCAGTAAATATGCAGCAGACCGTAACCATTATAGACTCTATCCACGTTCCAGGGGTCCTCCACGCAATTCCCAGCAGAATTACCAGAATAGTGAGAGTGGGGAAAAGAACGAGGGATCGGAAAGTGCTCCCGAAGGCCAGGCCCAACAGCGCCGGCCCTACCGCGGGCGACGGCTCCCACCTTACTACATGCGGAGACCCTCCGGGCGTCGACCGCAGTATTCCAACCCTCCTGTGCAGGGAGAAGTGATGGAGGGTGCTGACAATCGGGGTGCAGGAGAGCAAGGTAGACCAGTGAGACAATATGTATCGGGGTTATAGACCACGATTCCGCAGGGGGCCTCCTCGCCAAAGACAGCCTAGAGAGGATGGCAGTGAGGAAGATAAGGAAAATCAAGGAGATGAGACCCAAGGTCAGCAGCCACCTCAACGTTGGTACGGCCGTGACTTCAATTACCGACGCAGACGCCCAGAAAACCCTAAACCACAATATGGCAAAAAGACAAAAGCAGCCGATCCACCAGCTGAGAATTCGTCTGCTCCCGAGGCTGAGCAGGGCGGGGCTGAGTAAATGCCGGCTTACCATCTCTACCATCATCTGGTTTAGTCATCCAACACGAAGAAATGAAGATGAAATTCCAGCAATAAGAAATGAACAAAAGATTGGAGCTGAAGACCTTAAGTGCTTGCTTTTTGCCCACTGAGCAGATAAATAGAACTATCTGCATTATCTATGCAGCATGGGGTTTTTATTCTTTTTACCTAAAGATGTCTCTTTTTGGTAATGACAAACGTGTTTTAAAAAAAAGCAACCTGGTTTTCTCAATACACCTTTAAAGGTTTTTAAATTGTTTCATATCTGGTCAAGTTGAGATTTTTAAGAACCTCATTTTTTAATTTGTAATAAAAAGTTTACAACTTGATTTTTTTAAAAAAAATCAACAAACGATAAGTACCCGTTAATAAAGGTCTTAAATAATAAAATAAATAAATAATAAATGTCTTGAGAGTTACTTTGGAAGTGCTTTTCCTCCACGGTTCAGTTTATACAGCAGATCTTTACTGACTTCTGCTCTGTGCCTCCCCTTCCAGAATTTAACTTCTATTGGGGAGAACACATATACAAATAATTCCAGTAAAATCTGGCGAGGACACCAGAGGTGATTGCCTCAACATTAAGTGACTCTTGACTTTCAAACACTATGAAGACAAAGGGCATGCTTTTTCTTGCTTTTTCTTCAAATTATATAATTATAAATCCTTCTTCTGCCCCTTTGTTGATGCCGGTTCATGGCTGCTTAATACAAGTTACTCATTTGAGCCACTTTACTAGTGTCCTACCCATTGGCCACTAAATTTTATAGTAAGCATTACAGTGTTTGTTGTTGTTGTTGTTGTTTTAATGCATAAAAGTTGAGACAGAGGTAACCCTTCAAAAAGAACCAACATCACACAACCATTTCAATTACCTTATTAAAAAACGGAGGCCTCAAGTCGAATGTACAAAAGAAGCAAGGGGGCAAACGAGGAATCGGAGTTCAAGCCTTTGGCTAAGCTGACAGGTGAGATCATTTGCACACTTGGAGACTGCATCTGTTCCGAGTGAACAGCTGCCCTGGGAGCATCACAGTACCCCCATTCCGTCCGAGCACTCACCTTTGGCTGCTTGCCTATTTCAGAGCACTGTGCAGGCTCATCAGCTCTCTGCCCCTATAAAGCCTTGTTCTTTTTGCATGAAAGCAGCCTTTCCTAAAATTGTCAAGCAGAATAATTTTCCTCCCACTCCCTCAGGTCATTCTTACGGATGCCCTTAAAGTAGATGCACCTCCAGCAGCCCTTTGTGAGGAGAGAGGGAGTGAGCCAGCTTCCTCTCCTCTAAAGGGACAAGGGAAGAGTCCAGAAAAGCGTAGGAACAGCCAGCACTCTGCTGTGTATCCCAGAGAACTACAGAACCACAGAACCCACAAAGAGTGATGATCTTCTACAGTACTGCGTTTTCCCCTGGTGGGAGCCACCTAGACTGACTTCTTGGAGCCATGTTCCTGAGATTCAAATTTTATTAAAGGGAAAATATAAGTGAATTTTAGGTCTTTTTGTTTAATACATGATAATCATGCATTGTAACCCTATTTTGGCTAAAAGCAACAGGCTAACTGGCCTGAGGATTTTCCTTGCATCCGTTCTTAAGAACTGCATCTGAAGAACAGTCTACTTGAAAGGGAAAAAGTTATTGAGTACCATTTTCTGAAAATGTGTTTCTTCCAGAAGTGTTACTTGTGCAGTACTTTATTCAGTTGAACTGTAGAACTCCAGAGAAGTGAGGTAGTTTTTATAATTTTTAGTTTTGAAGCAGAAGATTAAAATAGACCCACATTCTATCGTTTTTGTTTTTTTTCTTTTAGGAACACATGATTCTGTGTAGATTTGCGGATCAGACAGCTGTCCAGCTTCCACCCCAACGAAGATTTGTGGGTATGTGTTTTCACAGAGCAGCTGATGAGTAGATTATACAGTATGCCTAGGAATGAATGGACTGGCTCTATATGGGGAAAACTGGTCCATTTATCAACAAGAAACTCAAGTTTGTTTTTCCCAGCAAAGGCAATTCATGTTGAAAAGGGCTCTGTGGGTATAAGAGTATTTTATCCCATTTTTGTTAACATTAATACTTTTATTTTTTTAAAGATTTTATTCGTTTATTTGACAGAGAGAGACATAGCAAGAAAGGGAAAACAAGCAGGGGGAGTGGGAGAGGGAGAAGCAGGCTTCCCGCTGAGCAGGGAGCCCGATGCGGGGCTCGAACCCAGGATCCTGGGATCATGACCTGAGCCAAAAGCAGACACTTAATGACTGAGCCACCCAGGTGCCCAACATTAATACTTTTAAATTCATCTTCAGTATTTGTACATTGAGCAGAATTATGTGAAATCTCTTTCTTACTGTTATGAACAAACTGAGGGATCCGTCTAAAGCCACAGAAGAATATATAAAGATGGAAAAATCAACTTTGCATGCCAAAATTAGTTAAAATATGTATAAGCATTTTTTCTTGGAAAAAGTATACTTGTATATTATTAATCATAGACCAATTTATTCAACATCTACAGATGGGTAAATATTACCTTAATTGGAAGACCTGCAATAGCATTTTAAGTTTAAGTAATGAATTTATCCAAGACTTTGCTTTAGAAAAAGAAATCACATTTATAAGGACAATAGCATCTAACAGTTACTGCACATTTAACTGCTGAGCTAAATGCCTTACCCATTATCTCAGTAAATTCTAATGAAAATACTTATGGGGTATGTAGTATTATTTAGGACTGGGACAAAAGTTTGTCCAGGATCCTTTACCTGGTAGATGATGGAGCCATACTATGAACAGATACAAAGCCTAGGTTCCAAAATTAGGGCTTGAGAAGATTGAGTGGAGTCAAAAATAATCTTTAAAATTATTTAGAAGAGCCCCCACATTGGAGGCCATCATAGTATATTGGAAAAGAGATTGCCATTTCTTTGGCTGAGCACCAGATGGGATAATTAGCTTGCATGCAGGGACTGTGTTATGTGAGAAGTAGTTATCTTCAAACTCTAAAGTCAAAGTCAGCATAGCAAGATACATACAGAGAGGCATCTGAGACCTGATTTCCTTTCCTTTCTCACACTCCGGAGCATAAAGATATGGAAAAAGCTCTTCCTCTCTCTCCTGCATGCAACCTCCTTCTCTTTCCCACTCCTTTTCTCTGCCTCCTCCTTCCCCCATTCCCAACTCTCTGAGCTAGTTGAGTGTACATGTGAATGTTCAGGGAGTGCTAGACGGGAAGTTGCTGGAGTTGAAGAGGAGAAGGAACGTTTGTCCTGATCACTGGCATGAGGGGAGGGAAAGTCATGTGCAAAGTCATGGACTCCATCAAATGTGGACATCTGTACTTTGCATGGGCCATATTTTTGTTCTGTGAACCTTTTAGGAAGCTTTCAAGGCCCCCAAAGGGAGACTACCAACAACTGAATTTCAGTTGTAAAGGTACTTCTTCAACATGTGAAAACATGAGATTCTTTTACGTAATAGAAAAGGAAAAATTAACTGGACTGGGATCAAAGCCAAGGGTGAATGAGCTGTAGTGTAAACCCAGGGTGGGTACTGAAGGAATGCAGGGCGTCTATTCTGACAGAGAATGTTTCATTTTAAACTGAAGAGTAGACGGAGGTGGGTGGGGGGGAGCCTTTACAGATGTCTTAAAAGATGAACAGTATTTTAAGGGAAAAAAAGAATGTCGGCTGCACAACTGTTGATGAACGGGGAGGGGTGGGTTGGGGGGTGATTTCGCCTAAATGGAATTCAAGACATCTCTTTTTATATCATTTCTAACACGGTTCATCCTTTTTGGCATAGGAGCTTTTAAGAAAAAAGTACAAAATAAACATTTTAAATCTGAATGTCTCATTGCCAATTCTTACCTACTGACTTCACCTTCCACAGTTTTTCTGTGAGGGTTCTTCTGTCTTCCACAGAAGAACGTCTTTGTTTCAATTATCTGGCTTCACTTCTGCAGCTGTTCAATTTTAGTAGTTTCTGTGGACATCCAAATAAATTATATAAAAATAATGTTTAGTCATTATTATAATTAGGAGGGAAAATGGAATTAAGTTCTGCATAGTCAGTAGCCTTTTGGAGGATGAAGTTTGTATATTGAATTTAAAGAAATTGAAAGTATAAAAGTGAACCATAGCTTTGAATATATTCAAGCCCAAATCATTTTTATTTCCAGAGCTACCTTTAACATAGAAATTTGCATTTGCCAAAGGAACACAAATTAGCTGCTTTGCTTGCCAGTCAGGTTTTCTCTTTTGTTTTCCAAAGATTACAAAGAAGATTGAATACCACTATTTTATTGGGGTGAAGGAGTTCTGAAAATTGATTATGTTACACAGCACATACACATCCACCTGAAATAACCGAAGCACAAATAAGAATTTTCTCAAATATTTTCTATTTCTCATTTTTCCTTGTCCTAAAAATTCCAGGTTCAAATGTATCCCATCTTTCAGATGCCTGTTAGCATGATACTTTAAATATTATTAAAGATAGATGTTATTTTTTTCACAATATTACAGGTAACATATTTCCATAGGGAATGCAGGCACAAGGTCTTTAATGTATTTTTAACCAAAGTGGGAAATAGGATCTGTAGTCTGTATTTGAGATTTATTTATTAAATACATTTTAAAAAGTTAACATTCTCAATAAAAAGAAAGTTAACGTTCTCTAAATTATCAGCAGAAACAAATCTGTGAACTCTCATATGTGATTGTATTTTGTCCGTACTGATCAAGAGTTAGGTTGACAGAGACTAAACAGGACTTGGGGGCAAACAGCATTCGCCATATACTTGTAGATTTTGTCACTGTATAGATGGACAAATTGAAATTGCACTGTTCCCTGTAGGGAGTCTCATGATACCATTTTACTGTATTTCAGGAAAACAGTGCATGTGCCTAGTGGATCTGGATCGAGCAAGAGCTGCAGAAGAACGTGGTTACTCAGTTCAAGTAATATCCATGGAGCCAGAGAGCTGCTCTCCCAAAAATAACATGATCGTGGGAGTCCCCATTTAGAAGGAGATATTCACATTCATGTTTGGCCATCCGTCTTCATGATGAAAACCCAGTGGCATTTAGGAGGTTCTTGGCATAACTAGAAAACAGCATTAGCCATATTGAACTTATTGTGCTCAGGAAGGAAAGCAGCAGGAAAATCACGGAAGAAAGGCTGCCTGCAAAGCATCACAAATGCTCTTGTAATGTATGATTAAAGGACCGCTGGTTTTCATAGTGAGAATCCCCTGAAGTCTCAGCTGCCAACAGAATAATACTCACCAGTGGAAGTTCCATCACTGGAATAACAATTTCCTTCTCACTTCACAGCTTTTCTCATCTTGCCAGTTTGATGTTCAGTTCAAAACAGTGAATTGAAGCCTTTGTAATCATTGCAGCCTTTATAATCATTTAGATATTCAAATGGAGACCAAAACTAGACTCAGTGGGATTGGTTGGTTGGTTGGTTGTATTTTAAACAATTGTACTTTTTCTATAATTTTTAAAAATATCCAGTCAGGCAACTACAGTATGGTTAAATTTTTAAGCCGGGATGAGTTGGACTTGTATTTCATTTCATATACTTCTTTAAATATGTTTCCCATAAATTACCAACTGAGATCATCACTGGTTCAGACATTTTATATGAAGACATAAAATACTTGCAGGAAATTTCCCATTGCAAGAGTATGTAATTTGGACATAAATTCTAACTAATCAGTAAATACATTGATTAATGAATTCGTTTATAAATAATTACTGAGGATTCGTTATTTTCAAGACCCTGGCCTAGATTCTTCTAAGGATACAAAGATGAGTTGCAAGAGACATGGTCCCTTGCCTATGGAATAAATCATGTAAAAGAAAAATTAATGAATTAGTTCTTTATGTCATAATATAATGTATGGTCACAGGATTTGTTTTCCAGATTTCAACCATATTTTTTAGTTACATTACTTTGCTAACACTTATTGAATGTAGATTGGAGGTAGGAGGAGGACAGAGTTTAGAAGTTTATTTGAATATTTCTCTCTTCTCACACTTCTCAGTCCACCAGCTGAACTTTTTAAAGACAGATGACATGTCCTTTCTCACATGCTGCTAATTATTTAGCTTTTACATGCCCTAGGTTATTCCATTTGAGATGAGATTTATTTCATTGATTTTGATGTTTTCAAGCCCTGTATGACACATATGAGGAAAAAAGATTTTAATAAGGAACTCTTTCATCATCATGACTTAAAATGCAGGAATAATTTACTCAGGGGGAAGGGGACTTGAATTCTTGTTTTCTGAGGTAAAATTTAAAAAAAGAATTAACCATCAGCCCTGAGTTTTTTAGTCATTTTTACCTATAGATATACCATGCTCTTTTATCCTGGGCTTTCTTTTTTAAATGGAGGTCTAATTTACAGACAATAAAATAACAGATTTTAAGTGTTGACTTTGAGAAGTTTTGACATATATATGTATATGGAGATTATATACATATATATATATGTATATAATCTACATGCAACTGCCACCAGAAATAAGATATAGAATATTTCCACCAGCACAGAAAGTTCTCTTATGTCCCTTTCTGTTCAACTTCACCTACCCCAAAGGCAGAAATCTCTCTGATTTCTATCATCCTCCATTTTCTCTGCCTATTTTTGTCCTTCATATAAATGAAGTCATTTAGTATGTAATCTTTTGTGTCTGGCTTCTTATTCCCAAGATAGTATTTTTTGAGAAATATCCATGTTGTTATATGTATCAATAGTTTCTTCTTATTCTTAAGGACATTCTATTATATAAATTTATCAAAATGTATTTATTCACTCTCCAATTTGTATTTATTTGGGTTATTTCCACTTTGAGGATATCACAAATAAGGCCTATAAATATTCTTGTACAAGTCTTTTTGTGGACATATGTTTTCATTTCTCTTGGATAAATACCTAGTAGTAGAATTGCTGGGTCATTGAATAAATGAATGTCAATTGCCAAACAGTTTTTCCAAAGTGGTTGTACCATTTTATATTCCCACCAGCAATGTATAAAAATTCTAATTCTCAACACCACCCTCACAACATTTGATATTGTCAGTCTTTTTTATTTTAACCATTCTGGTGGACATGAAATAGTACCTCACTGGGATTTTAATTTTCATTTCTCAGATGACTAGTGATACTAAGCATCATTTGTAAAGTCAATGTTCAAGTCTTTTACTCATTTTTAAAATTAGGTTGTTTGTGGTTTTTTGTTGTTGGCTTATAAGAATTCTTTATATATTCTGGTTAAGAGTTCTTTGTCAGATATATGTATTGAGAATATTTTTCCCAGTCTGTGGCTTGCCTACTCAATTTTCATAATGAATGTTTTAATTTTCAGGAAGCCTAATTTATCTGTTTTTGCTGTGTACTTTCTGTGTCCTCTATAATAAATCTTTACCCACCCTGAGGTTATGAAGATTTTTTCCATGTTTTCCTACAGAAACTTTATGGTTTTAGCTTTTTACATTTTAGGTCTATGATCCATCTCAAATCAATATTCACATAGAGGTAGGTAGGTTTTGAAAAATATACATTTGTTTTGGCACCATTTATTTAAAAACCTTTTTTCTTCCTATTGAATTGACTTGGCACCTCAGTTGAAAATTAACTGATGTATATGTATGAGCCTATGGGGTCTCTAGTCTGCTCCATTAATTTGTTTGATTACTGTAGCTTTATAGTAAGTCTTGAAATTAGGTGATTTTCCAATTTCATTTCTCATTTTCCAGATTGTTTTAACTGTTCTAAATCCATTGTATTTCCATATAAATTTTTAAATTGGCTTATCAATTTCCTTAAAAAAAATAGCCTGCTGGGATTTTTGGTATTGTCTGGAAACTTTATATCAATTTAGGGAAAATGAACATATTAGCAATGTTGAGTCTTATAATCCATAAACATAATATATCTTTCCACATATTTAGGTCTTCTTTAATTACTCCCAGTAATATTTTCTAATTTTCAATATAGATGTTTGGTTTTACTTATTATTTGATAGTTTTGATGCTGTTACCTTCAGTTGTTCCCACTACCCAGAATACTCTCCTCTTAGCCCTCCCATTAACTTGAGCTCATTCATCCTTCTGCTCTTAGACCTGACCTCCTGAGGAAAGCCTTTCCTAAATTTTCTGGAGTTAGTTACCTGTTATAGAATGTGCACCGTCCAGAAGAGTTCTCCATCCACCCCCGGTGACTCAAAGCACCCCACCAAAAAAGCCCCTATGGTAAGTATCGAGAATACAAAAGGAAGTGACTCCACTTTTTCCCACCCTTGTTCTCAGGCATGGAATTCTCCAGCTGTGATGGCTGTGGCTAGTCATAGATATGGGTGTTAATGATTGCCTTTAGGACACGATTTTTCTGTGTAAATCCTTTCCAAGGCTCCTTCTCCGCCAGGGCAAATAAAAGAGGTTGGATGCAGGCAGCAGGAAGGTTGTTGGCAATGACAACAGTCCCAGTAAGTGACCTGGTTTCACCCTTACACTTGTCTGTCAAAAGCAAAGCTGCTCCTCACGATCTCTCTCCCCCCACAGTTGTAAGATTAGAAGCCAGAGATCATCTTTCATTAACTTTCAAGCCTGGCTCAGAGATAAAGAGGTATAATTACTAATGACTAAATAATTTTATCTTATTTAGGGAGACATTTCAGTCATATTAGAAATCAAAATATTTTCAGACCACACATGCAATATAGTATGTGAATAACAATAATTAAACATTTAATCTCATTCTCAAGATTTTGGCTACAGGCTTTACCCACTCCATGATTCAAGAAAATTGCCATTAATAGAACTTCCACATACACCTGTTTTTCTATTGGCTTTCATAATAAAATTAGAGATATGTTTCTGTGGAAGTGATATAATTAAATCATTAAGAGGGAGCAATACTTTTTTAAGTTACAATTTTTAAAAAGCAGATTCTCAAAGCAAAGTAGTTGGTCATTTTCAATAGATTTTTTTTTTATATGCCAGAAATACATGTCTGTTGAAGAAAAACTAGAAGACGTGGCTAAATAAAAAGGAAAAAATTTTAAATCACTGTTAATACTTTGTTTTACATCTTCCTAGACTCTGTTCTATACACACACAGAGAGAGATTTATTTAACAAACACTAATACAGTGTTTACTATTTGCTAGGCACTCTTCTAAGTCCTTTGTAAATAATAACTCATTTTCAATCCTCGTAATGACCCTAAGAACTAGATGCCATTAGGCATCTCATTTTATAGAAACTAAGGCCAGTGTTTCATAGTAAGAGCATACCCAGATTTGAACTCAGCAAGTAGTTGGCAGAGCTTATATTCTATTTCAGGCTCCTTAGCAATCCTATCGGGATTAGCTGAGATTTGCTATAGTAACAAAATCTCTCTGCCTTTTGAAGTTCTACACGAGAAAGATGTATTTTTTTCACTTATACTAAATACCCATCCAAGTCAGTTATGACTCTATGCCACATTATCCTCACACCTGACCAAGAAGCTTCTATTAGGAACATAGCTGGTCTCATGGAAAAGGAAATAGACATGGCAAACTATCAGCTAGCTACTGAAGATTCTGCTCAGATGTGATATACTTCACTTGCCTCATTTTGTTGACTAAAGCAAACTACGTAGCCCCTCCTGAGTTTTAACACAGTGGGGATGTACAACCTTGGTGGAAGGAGGTTGCAGATAATTGCAAACAGCAATGTAATGTACCACCAACAATGTAGTTGAAAGAGGAAGAGAAGAGGAGGAAGGGCAAAAGAAGGAAGAAGAGAACAGAAAGAAAAGGCCATTGCATCTTCCCGTTTAGAAATGGAGATTCTGAATGCAATTGACTTGGAGTAGGGCATTTCATTGAATCAATCAAAGAGGGAAGGCATGTGTCATAAACATTTCCTGTCATTGCTCTGTGGACTTTTCACACTTACTATTGGAAAGGAATTTTCCAGAAAACACCTGAAAGGAGTTGTTTTCTATTATACAAGATTGGAGAAACTTCTATTAATTGGAGTTTCAGATTTGCAAATTCTGCCTCATATATTAAAGTGTTTGATCTGTAATGCCAAACATTCCTTTAGGAAGGTACGAGTTTTTACTCCTAGGAATATATAATTATTCATTTTCCTAAACCCTTAACCAACACAGCATTATCAATTTTTTTTAATCTTGGC